TCATATCCACCCTGTAACTAATACCCATCTTAATTAATCATTTTCTTCCTGTCAACTGCTATCCAACCCAAAACGTTGGCCCTGGGTCAGGAACCAGCCTCGGATGATGCACATGGTACTTAAAAAAAACCTCTCCTTTCATCCACCTGTTGAGAATTAATCAAAATCATCTGAGGAAAGGAATGGAGCATTCTTCCAGGTCAATAGACTGCAGCTGCTGGGGGACAATTAAATAGCTTTAATCAACAAGTCCACTGTCAAAATCTATATGATCACTCAAATGTGCCTGCTTTGTTTCCCCAGCAACTAAGAAATGTTGCACAAGATTTCTAACTTGAGGACCCAGTTTTGAAACCGGAGAAGGTGCTCTCATGAATCTGCAACAGCCCTGTCTAGCCACGGAATTCTGTGGTATTCTTTGTAAGACTCCATTTAAAAAGTGGGGGGGGGGGAATTGTGCATTTTTCTCTATTAAGTTCATAAAAAGCCTCCAAAGTTTACTGGTCCTTGTATAAAATGCCACACTACCGATGTTGCTCTCAATGGAGTAGCCACAGCAACTAGCCAGTTTCAAGGCACGTTCACAAGGTTAATCATGAACACAGACACAGCATGTCAACCTATGCACAATAGCACAGCTTTGTCTTCCACTGACAGTGCCCACACTGGCCTTTGCCAACGAGTATCTTACACCTTACTGCTTGTGGTACCTGCCCAGATAATGGCATGTACTGTATTTAGTATATACAGCTCAGATGGGCAGGTGCCAGATGTGTAAAAAGGAAAATGCTGGACACATGGTTAGCATTTCTAGCTGTATAAATACTCATCACATTGGATGAGAAATGGTTAAAGAAAACAACTTTAACCAAGTTACCTCTAAAAAGACTGGACATTGTTTTCCAATGTATGTACTATTTACACTTTTTACCAGGAATATCTTAACATTTTTCTTTCAGAAAGATTTTGTGTGTGCATGCCCGCCAGCACAGCGGGGGGGGGGAGGGGCGCAGAGAGAGGTACAAGCAGACTCCCTGCTGAGCGGGGAACCTGATGCAGGGCTGGATCCCAGGACCCTGAGATCATGACCTGAGCCGACGGCAGCCGCTTAACCAACTGAGCCACCCAGGCATCCCGTGAGTATGTTTTATACTTAAAGAGGCCCCAGGGCACCTGGCTGCCTCAGTCAGTAGAGCATGTGACTCCTGAACTCAGGGGTGAGTTTGAGACCCACACTGGGTATAGAACCTATTTTAAAAATTAAAAATTTTAAAAATGAAGAGGCCCCAAATCCTGATAATCACTTAATGACAATGAAATGGCATTTTATGAGTGGGCTGAGAAAGCTGCAGTGTAATGGAACAGAAAACAAGGCCTTTTGGGAGTCAAGGCTGGCCTGGGTCATGAATACACTACTTGTTTAGTACGATGAGTAATGTGTGAGGAACTTCTGCCCTGTTTATTCACCTCTCAAGTGGTTAAACATCACGTAAGAAAAAAACCCTGCACAATGGTTGGCAGAGTGGTACTCAAAGACAAAACTTCCTTTCCTGACCACTCCAGTTGTCTTCACTGAAGCTTTCAGCACTACTAAAAGGCATCTACTTTCAAAACTTCACTTCCTAGCCCTCTCCAAATGATCAGCGTTCATCTACTCCTTACTACTTACAAAGAGGGCAGCTTCTACTCCCAACCTCACTCCTGGGAACCACTTTAATATCAGATGGACAGTTATATACACTGCCAACTGAAATCCAAGCAGGGCTGCCCGTTCGGTCAATTTTGCGTCCCCATCAAACCCAACAGCTGGAACACATGAGCCAGCCACTAGTGCCATCTGGTACTCCCAACTTCTTGGCATCCTGCCAGGACTAATGCTGACCGAGTTATCCCACACCTGTTTTGTTTGGTAGTACAACTGAAGGAGTCAAAAATCCTGACTGCAACCCACTTCCAATTCATGGTTACAGAATCCTAAGTTTTCCCCCAAACCCTTAGTGCAGCTACACAATTGCTCTTGCTCTCTCAACTTCTACTTTATGATTAAGGTACTCATTTCTTAGATTTATAGCCTTTAGTCCCCCTAACACCCTGCCATCTGACGCAAAGGGACTTTTCGAAGGACCCTCAACTAAAGATTTGCCACCTCACTCTAGGTCCAAGAACCTTTCTCTTAGGAGATGTAAAGTCCTACAACCAACACCTCTTTTAAGTTATCCTAACCCATAATGGATGAAACATGAAGAAAGTAGTGTAGTTTAAGCCTCAAATTCCTGAACTTGAACTCACATTACATGTCTTCTAGACACCAAGCTGCTGTACATCCCTGTACCTCATTCCACTAAGCCCCTGTGTCATGGACTACCATGTGATAAGTTAACAACAAATTTCCAACTTGTACATATTTGTAAAGCACTCTCATTGAAACATGGATTTTTATCTAAACTATCAAGAAATTCTGGTGGCAAGAGCCAGCTGGAATGGGTTAAGAATTAACAGCTGCTTAAGCTTAAAAGAATTCAGGGGCACCTGGGTGGCTCAGTCGGTTAAGGGTTTGCCTTCAGCTCAGGTCACAATCCCAGGGCCCTGGGCTCAAGTCCTGCATCAGGTTCCCTGCTTCTCTGCCCCTCCCCCCTCCTGTTCTCTCTCAGAATTTTTTGTGCCTGGGTGGCTAAGTCGGTGGGGCATCTGCCTTCAGCTCAGGTCATGATCCCAGGGTCCTGGGATGGAGCCCCGCATCGGGCTCCCTGCTCCACAGGAAGCCTGCTTCTCCCTCTCCCACTCCCCTGTGTTCCCTCTGTCAAATAAATAAAAATTTAGGCATCATTTTGAGGAAGTTAATTCTTTCAATAACTTTTAGCTGTCCTTAGTTTTATATCCTGGTCATTTCCATTTCCTTTTACAAATGAACAATCCCAACATTTAACACCCAACAAAGGGTAGCATTAAGCAACTTTCCCCCTTGGCTTGATTTGCAGATTTAGGGCTGGTCAGTAAAAACCATCCCTAAAGGATGCTAACTTTCCCCGTATGAAACCTGAATGAGGTACATACTGAAACAAAGGTGCCATTTCCAAGAAAGACTTGAAAGGCAGGGCAAATCAGGGGCACCTAGCTGGCTCAGTGGGTACAGCAGGCCACGACTTCCAGGTTGTGAGTTCGAGCCCCCACGTTGGGTGTAGAGATTACTTAAAAAATTAAAAGTGGCAAAAGTCACAATTTTTCTGGAAAGCCTAACTTTGCTCTGGAAATAATTAAATATTCTCCATATAAGGACCTCTCCAAATGACTAGGAAGTAACAATGTTTCCAGAAAGTTTCACTTCCTCAAGACTAAGTACATACCTGTAACTACACAATGTTTTATGTATGTCACAGAAAATGGAGGAAAAACTAAATGAGATATGTAGTATTATACCCATGTGTATCATGTCAGTCTGGGAAACATTTTGGGTGTTGTGTTCTAAAGAAAGAACTGGAATTCTAAGGGAGTCTAAATACTGTTACCCTAAGTTTCTGCAATCCCAATAATGGAAAAGAACAAAATCGAGCAGTTATACTAGGTTTATCAAGACAAATTTTCAATGATTCTTCTCAGAATCTCCCAAGTGTGCGATACAGCTGAATTCTTTGCCATATTCCAAAGAATCTTTCAAGAAAATAAAGAGCATTTGTATGGGCACAGAAAACTGAATTCAACACTATCAACTTGTTTTGATAAAAATATACTCCAACCCAGTTTTACTTCAGCTACTTTAATTATAAAAATCTTTCATATTCTCAAAAAAAAACCCAGAAGGCAGCAGTCTAGTACAAAAATATACAACTGGAACACATTACCACCTAGATCTGACAACTAAAAATCATGTTCACGACTCTGAAAATAAAAGCAAATTAAAACAGTACTAAACCAGTGGTCTTATTTAGTCATTTAATCAGGGATATTTATCACCTTGAATTCTTTCAAATAACACAGTGCTCGATGAAAAAAAAAAAAGGCTAACAGGCCTGGAATCAGGCTGTATTTTGAAAAACTTCTCTGATCAACAGCATTCCTGATAAAGCACTGTTACTAACATGAACCATATTAACTCTCTAATAAAAAGCAACCAGGACTTCCCATCCAGGTATGTGTGAGTCTAACTAAAAGGGGGAGAAAACATCTACAGATCACAACTATGTAAGGAACTGTGAAAGTAAACAGTAGATAAAAGTTATCTACATCTGATAAAATTAAAATTCCTCTGGCTAATTTATCCTCACCATTCTGCTTAAGACATGAAGGTCAGAAGTAACCCACAATTAGGTGGGAACCACAGATTATTCTGGAAAAGCATAAAAACCAACTATAATCCTTGTATCCTTAAATCACCCAGTATTAATAGTGACCTCTAGTGAACACCTGCAGTCATTACACTAGCAGTCAGCTTTTATGACTTACCTCTTTCAGTACTGTACTTAAGAGGATGCAGGGACAAAATTGGCTAAACAATTTTAGAAATCACAGTAACCAGAACTTTTAACAGCCAGAAGCTGCATGTGCAGTGAATTTTAACAGCTTCTATCTCCCCCCCCACCCCAAAATTTTTTTTTACAAGCCATAAAAACTGTGCTGGGGCTTCTGGTTAAAGTGATTGCAAATTTGGTGTATGTCAGAATAACTCCCTGAGATCGACTTTTAGATTCTGCATAAAGCCACATTATACCCATAACCTACTAACCTTTTTACAAAAACCCTTCCAACTGAAGGCTCTGCAAGCTGTATGCTGCCAAAAACACGCACATGAACGTCCATTTACAAGAGCGGTGTGATTATACTGATACACCATACTACTTCACCACCATACTACTTCATGAGCTCCTAGCTACCTTTCCTTGTTGTGAACCAGAACAGTTCTGGGCTATGAGAAAATGCCAAAAGACAAAAGGCCCAAAAAGCCAGAGCTCCCCAGTACATCAATAGTCTTTAAAAGGGTCTTTTCTAAGAAGGCTCATATTGAATCTGACACCAATGACTCTCCTCCTTTGTTGGTATCTGCATGAAGTTAATAAGGACCACTGGAAACAATTTGTTTAGGATCTACATCTTAGAAAATCTTTATAGGCTCAACTCAATGCAATAACTCATCTTTCATATATTAAAGTCAGTACAGCATAATCCAAAACTACCTTTAAGTAGCACATTTAAGGAAACTAAGCCACAAGACTGTTTCATTATGATTTAATCTAATTGCACAAAAATTTGAAATTACAACTCCTCTGGATTTCTAAGAGGAAGGGTTATGCATGCCTCCATATTCAATTCTGCACTGTTACATTTGAACCATATATTGAATTTTACATCATGATGGATCAATTTAGAATTCCCATGCAACACCTCAAATTATGTAAAATGGAAGCAATTTTTAAGCTTTGTGGAAAGGTCTCATGCTAATGATAAAAGCCTTTTTTATAGGATCACTTCGGGTTATAATGTACCAGGTTGCTATATTTTAAAATGTTGGTCACAGAGTATCATGGTCTTTGAACTGGCTCCTAACTCCTAAAAAATGGTTAAGTACAAACAATCACGTAGGTGACAACCAAAAATTCCCTTCAGCCTCACTTGTTTCTTCTAAGGTTTGTGTAACCAACTGATTTCCATGGGACAAGAACTATGGTAATAGTGGGTTCGACTATTACACAATTATGCTAATATTTTATTAATTCAAAAGCACTTTACAAGAAAATAGAAGTATGGCTTCCAATAGGAATGTTATACCTGGACTTGATACCAAGCTCACAGATTTTAGTTTTGCAAGGAAAAACAGGCTTTCAGGTTAAACAACAATTTGTAACCAAAACTTTAATCCCAAGGATTCTCACAAACATATTACAAATGACAGCATGAAAAAAAATAAATCTTGCACAGTAACTCAAAGTTTAGCTCTACAATGTACCCTTAAACTGGCAGGCCGTTGGTATCTTGAGTAGTTTCAAATTACCAAATAGAGATTGTTACAAAGAGCTGTGTGTTCATATACGGCAATCACGTAAGGAACTTATGACCTAAAGCAAAGATAAACTAACTTTCTTGCAACTTCCAATTCTACACCAACTGGACACCCCTGCCCAATATGAAGAAGTTTTTTGTTTTTTTTTTTTTTAAACCTCTAATTTAGTTTAACAGTGCAGCTTAATTTTTACCTGCTGGCTTGTGTTCACACCAGCTTTTAAAGACTGCTTCTTCAACTACAGCTGCATACTATTATCCCAGCTATGGAAAGACTTCGTTCAATTTTTGCCGGTTTTCATGGTATTAAATGTCAAGCTTTAGCTGGGCAGGAGTTAGAGGTTTATTACCAATCTATGTGAGACTAAACTTCAAACCAAATTCAATTTTGCTTAAGGGAACATTGTAAAGTAACAATTCTTGATATTACATGCCTCATATAATACATTCAAATCATAGAGAATTACATCTTTGTCACTGTTCCGACACAAACAAATGTGAACAGCTAAAACATCTTAAAAATGCACCAAGCTTATGAAGTCTCAAACAAAACTTGAATTTTCTGTACATACTCCTGTCAAATGAAGTTATTTCCTGTACACCACTCCTCTTGCAAAATGGTCTTCTATTTCCTTTCATTTGACCTAGATCGGCTAAAAAAACAAAAAACACCAAGAACAAAGTTAACATACATAACTCGATGACACAACTACATCAAAGGCTTTATGGAAAAGTAGTAAAAATAATCAAAATGGCTTCAGGTGACCAGTTCTGTTTTTACTTCATTGTTTATACACAGTCCAAGTCATTAAAGATCTTACCTACGAGACCTAGAGAAGGATCGGGAAGGCTTGTGATTTCTCTCCCGAGACAGTGATCTCTCTCTCCTCCTATCTCTAGAAAGGGACCTAAAACCAGGGGAAGGAAAATAGGACCATTCAGAATTACACAACAAACATCAGTACAAAGTCTTCAAAAACTCAGTGGTTCATTCCTGCAACACTGGCTCTATTACATCACTTGATTCATTACTAAACCCAAAGTCTTTTACCATTAACCATTTCATTTAGAAAACAGTGTAAGAACAGAAGCGCTGTCATTTCTGAGAATGTACCCAAAAAATGGTAGTTATTTACCTGCTCCGGCTGCGGGAGAAGCTTCTCCGTCTTGGAGATCTAAAAGCAGAAACAGGAAAATTAGGCTAATTGTCAATTAGTATTTATGGCGTGAGGCATTTCCCAACTTTTCAATCTCACTGTTGGGCCCAGTGAATGTGCCGAAGAACTGGCACCCATCGTCCAAAAAAAATAAAACAAAAAAATAAATAAAAAACAGGGGAAAAAAAACAGAAAAGAAAAAAAAGGCACAGAAGGATTAAGGAACCAAAAGCTCAAGTGAAAAGCAGGTATTCCAACCATGGATTCACTTTAACAAAGAATGCTTCACAGCAGATCTGTCCAATGCAAAACTTCATGTCAAACTAACTTCACTACCCAAACACCACACCAAAATATAGTCCCACAAGTAGTTCCAAAAACAGTACCATAAACCAGTATTTGGAACCCATGCAAACCTATAAGTCCGTGACAAGACTTAGGTACCAGGTGGATAGTGTAATTTTGTGAAAACGCGCTAGGTGTAAATACTGATGCCATTAAGTGCTACATTAGAACTGCATTTGTGATCGTCACATTTAAGAGTGTGTTTAGGCTTATAAAAATTACCTTAGCTTGGCCCACTTCACCCCCAAAATTTAAATTTTGAAAACTGTTAGTAAAACCATTTAAAGGTGATAGGATTCAACAAATTTTTGCTAGAAAGGAAAGCTAAATCTGTTAGAGTTATTAAATTTTTTAGTTTGGCATCTCACACATGCAAATAAGTTTCACTTGAAGGTCTAGTTACATTATGAGTTCCCTATCACCCTTAAAAGTTTTATTCAAGCAATATATATGTACGTTACCATTCAATTATGCACAGCCAGCCTTTGATCCAGAAAAAAGAATTACTTTAAGCCGCTTACTCCTTATTTTAACCAGCAGTAAACTGTATAAGCAGGAAAAACTTACTAGTTTTGGGTTTCAACAAGCTAGAAATGGTGAGGTGAGGCTGCCGGACTGACGGCCAGGAAGAATTTGCTGAAAAGGTTTTGCCAGATGTTGCGTTGGATTTAGTTGGTTGGCGAAGGGGGTGTTGTGGATTTTTCCTGCTTTTTTGTTAGCCGAAGGCTGCTGCTGTAGTTGTTGTGAAGACATTTGGTAAATAAACAGCTGAGCTGATTGGCCAGGAATGTGTGGGCGGTCGAGGTGGCTGCTGCCGATTTGGTTAAGGTTGGAGAGAAGGCTGAGAGAAAACAGCATGCTCGGGAACCAAAGGGCGGTGCAACCTGACGACTGGCCATGCCTGGGTCATGTGAAACGACACCAGCCAAGCTGAATGGGGCGCGCTGGTCACATGACGCTGAAAGGGCTAGTTGACTGGCTAATGCAGACTCAGAGGGTGGTGAGAAGAGACATGATGGTGACTCTGTAACGGGGTTCATTTTTATTAATAGATGGACCAAAAAGCACAAAAAAAAATGAAAAACAAGCCATCAGTACAACCATCTATTTAGCTAACAAATACTCTTTATTATGATGGGCAACAGTGTGTTGTTTTGTTTTTCAAAATAGTAAAAGGGGCAAGATTTTGAACTCCTATCTCCTAGAAGGACTTCACTCACCTGTAAGAGGTAAATTCAGTCCTATAGAAACTATTTTGGAGGTTTGAGGAGATGTGGAGTTAGCATCCAGACAATACTGCCTGGTCCAAGAATGATGCCATTTTCAATTATAAAAAAACTGAAATCTCTCCTATTTGGGTTTGAAGAACAGATGATTGGGATTACTTTTTTAGCCCCCTTTATCGGTCAGTGACTTTAGTTTCAGAATGATTTCTACTTTACCAGTTGTAACATTACAACAGCTGCCTGGTTGATAAATACTACAATCGTGCTAATAGTAGAAAATACATTTTTGTGAAGAGCTAGAGTTGAATGTAATGTTTGTCATTATGGAGTCAAGAAATGGAAAAAGGCCTAAATTGAAGTATAAGGGAAGACTTGGAAAGATGCAACTAGAAGATGAACTAGAAGACAGATCCAAGATAGAAGTTACTGACTACCAACATGAACAATGACCTAAAGACAAAAGCCAACACTCAGCACAACTCACATACCCCAAACTACACCCAGCACATGTTTCATAAAAACCTCCGATTCTTCAAAGTTTAAAACCCACCAACAAACTTTAAGAGAAATACCTGCTCCTATTAGCTACTCCATTACACCAATACCTCTAAACACGCTCTCAAGTACCTGCGGCGAGGTGGAGGACTCCTTCTCCGATAATCATCTCGAGGGCGACGACCCCAAGACGGTGGTGGGCCACGATTTCGACTTCTCTTTTCACCATTCGAGAGTTCCACTCTTACTCGGCAGCCACATAATGTTCTGAGAAGAGAAGAAACATTATTAAATTTAAAAGAGCCAAACTTTCTAAGAGATGTGTATTAAAGCAAAGAAGAAAGCACTCCTACTTAGCTTCTTTGCAAAGTACACACCTGAATGTCTGTAGAATCCTTAATAGCAAAACAAGTTTTTCTCATGAAGAAAACCAACTTCCTTACATTTTAGTGCTTTGTTCGAGTCCATCTAAATCACTGGGCTCAATGTTAATTTGTTAATATTACAAGTGTGAAACCCCTGGATTCATCCTCAAAGAACTAGTTCATCTGTACATCCTGCTGGGAGATCCCCCAGCACTTGTTTACTGATCTTACTCTATCTGCTGCTGGTCTTTCTCCTCCCCCCACAACCCCTCTCCATGCAAAAGCAGTGAACTGAAGCATTTTGGCCATTTCACATCACCATCTCCCCTCAGTGGTCACACAATAACTGACACTTAGGATACTGCAGCTAAGAATAGTTGGGAACAAAGTAATCCCCCACCTCTTCATTGTTCCACCTCCGTTTAGATAAACCACCATTATTTGGACAGTGATTAAGAGGCAGGGTCCTGGAAAAATCTGTTTCTATAATCTGCTTGGATACACTACCTTTTATACAGCTTTACAGTCAACCCTCAGGCCCCTTAACTTTTGGATCTTAAGGATTAACCATTTCTCTTGGTTTCATGAAATCCAGCAGTTTTCAAAGACCAGAAAGGAGGGGAAGAAGGGCAGCACCTGTTCCAAGACTCAGGTGTTACTTTATCAGCCATTAAGAGGACACCGTAAACACAAAAGCAAATAACTACATATTCCACCTTAAATATCTAAACATGTAAAAGATAATGGTATAAGCCCACGTAACCATCATCCAACTACAATTATCAGTTTGTGGCCATTCTTATTTGAAGAGAGTACCAGATTTCCAATTGTTTCAGAAACAATTCAAAGGTGACACCACCGGTGACTTTGTGGAAGGTTTAGATCAAAATGCTTTAATCACATTTTGGATGCAAAAATCCACCCAAGAATTGACCCACTAAACTTATTCTCTTCACTGGCCACCTGAATAAAAAGATCTTCCTATGTATCTCCATTAAAACCGTTCAGTCCTTTTTCATTACAGCAAAGACTTATGTAAAGCCTCTAAGAACATTAACTTCAGATAGCCAAGAAGCCATCTAAAAGCCACATATCCTAGGAATTTTAAATATCAAAAATACAACATATTTATCAGTATAAATTAGTCATTAAATTACCTCCCATCTAGTTCTCGAACAGCATCGGCTGCATCTCGGGGATCTTCAAATTCAACAAAAGCAAAGCCGGGAGGGTTTCTAGCAACCCACACACTTCGGAGTGGTCCATAATAGCCAAAAGCTCGTTCCAATTCAGTCTTGTTACCATTGTTTCCAAGATTACCTACATAAACCTTACAGTCCAATGGACAGGAATCACGATGCATTTCTGTAATAAAAAGAATACCCCAAACATTAACCATTTATGCAATAATCTACACAGTGACAAACAGATCCTTAAGAATGCTGAAATACTAAAAACCCAACAAGTTACTACCCTCGAAACACCCATTTTTCTCTCATCTGTACTGATAACCACAAAGGAAGCCAACACGAATAAGAAAAAAAGGTCTCCTTGAAAAATTGAGGGGGGGGAAACAAACACTGAAGGAGCATTTACAATCTGGGCAGAGTTAGGGACTTTATTATTACAATTAATCTCAAAAATAAATCACTTAGAAAAGTAGGATAACTTGCTCAGAAGCAAATCCTGGAGACACAAAAACCAAATGAAACAATGCTTAAAACCAGACAGTAGTTAAAGCCGAGCCACTTAAACAGTGGTACTACTGTGCCCTCATAAGCAAAAACTTAACCAGCTTCACTCCTCAAGCAGCTAAGTCTTAGGTTTTTTTAAAAAAAATGTACATCACAGCAGCCCTATTCTCAATAGCCAAAATCAAAAGATAAATAGATAAGCAAAATCATCCATACAATGGAATATTACTCAGAACAAAGTACTGATTAATGCTTCAAACATGAATACTGAAAACAAGCTATTACAGATGCCAGACACAAAACTGCACATACTAAGAGTCTAGGTATATGAAATATCCAACAGGTAAACCCAGAGACAATTTACTGGTTACCAGGGGCTGGGGGAGAGGGCAGAGGAAATGGGGAAAAGCTGCTTAATAGGTAGGTAGATATAGGTCTCCTTAGGGGATAAAAAAAAAAATGTTTTGGAACTAGACAGGATGGCTGCACAGCATTGGGAATGCAATTAGTTATCACTGAGTTGCACACTTTAAAATGAAATTTATGTTAATTTCACCTCGGGTGGGGGGGATTTCTTAGAGCACGTACTTACTGCCCTTTGGGGGCTTATATTTGATAATTCTGCAAAAAGTCACCTCAACAACGAATCTAATCAACTTGATCACTTTTTTTTTTTTTTTAAGATTTTTTTTTTAATCATGAGAGACAGAGAGAGGCAGAGGGAGAAGCAGGTTCCCAAGGAGCAGGGAGCCCGATGCGGGACTCGATCCCAGGATCCTGGGATCACGACCTGAGCCGAAGGCAGATGCTTAACCATCTGAGCCACCCAGGCGCCCTTGATCAGTTTCAACTGCAAAGTGTAGTCAACCCAATAACTCAGCTTAAGGCCTTCTCATAAAACACCACGTTCTTCCCACTCTGAGGTTATCCAATTAAAATAACTAGTGCAGACACATCCTATTTGCATGACCCCACCCTGTACCCAGGAGTTCTGAAGCCGAATCATTGCTGGAGGTTGGTTTTTTAAAAAAAAAAAACTTAGCCGTACACCGTTTCAGAGTAACTATCAACGGGAAGCTGCTCCAAGAACAATGCTACTCAAGGGAGATCCTTCGGTTTAAAAAAAAAAAAAAGTGATAGGGTGTATAAAGTCAGATTACGATTAGATGAAAATACAGGGGAGTACAGAAACCAAGTAATATGGACGAAAAGGTCCAATCTCGATCGGTGACTTGAGAAAAAATTCCTGAGTAGCTTCCAAAGAAAACGTGGTGGGGCGGGGGGGAGGAAAAAGGCGCCATAAACTGAAAGGCCGCGGCCCGAGTACAATTCAGTTAGCGGCTTCCCCCCCTTCGCCTCAACTTTCGGGTAATTTCACTTCTCACTTCACCCCCCCCGCCGCGTAAAAGATTATAAACACCTCCATTTCGAGGCCCAGGTACATTCTCTGACGGGTCAAAAGCCCCCGCCACCGCCCCATGCTGAACGTCACAAAATGGCGGCGGCGTCTCTTTGTCTCAACCTGGCGCCGCCATTGGGCCTGGTCCCTCCGCGATACTGTTAAAGGGCCATTTCCCACTACACTCCTTTAGCCGCCGGTCACTTACCGAGATCTTGGGTTGGAAAGCGGACGCTCAAATCCGCACACCCTCAGATGGGTCTTCCCGCTTCCCGCTCCCCTCCCCGCCCGGCTCCCGCAAAGCTCTCGCTGACCTGGCGTCCACGAAATGGCGGACCACCGCCGTCTCCTCGCCCTTATTTATACGCCACGCTGAAATCACATGATTGGACGGGCTCGTCCAATGAGAGGCGGAGGAGGCCGTGACGTTGCGGCCACAAACGCAACGAGAATCGCGGTTGTTGGGAGCGCGCTCTGGCGGTGTAGCTTGGACGGCGGAGACGTGGGCCGCCGGGCTCCGGTCGTTTCAGGCCTGGGGCTACCTCGGGTGTTTACGCGTGGCCGACCTCCAAGTTACCCTCAGTTCCCCTCTCCCTCGTCTCCGGGTAGACTGGGTTTTCATAACATCGCTGTCGTCGCTCCCAAACCCCGATTGAGCCGTCTGCTCCAAATAAGATTTAGATACTAGATTACTTCATTAATTACTTCATCCTGGAGAACGGTTACACTGGAATGAAGACCATCGCGTTTACAAACGTGCTTTAGAGTTTCTCCCAAGGTCACTGAGCTGTGTGTGGCCAAGCTGCCACCAGATTGTGTCCGCCCACGTCCCACACTATGGAAAAGCCCGATCCTGGAAAGTCGGCCCGATTCTGGCTGGTTTACCTGCCTCTCACGCAAACCGCAGCATTTGGCAGAGAGGGGTAACGTCGTTAGCCCGGACTCAAACTGTTTAATAGAAATCAAAGGCAAATGAGACCAGTCAGGCCATCTGGACGCTCACCTTTAGCAAATAACAGCAAAAGGAACTTCCTGAAGAAAAATTAGTTTAAATACTGGGCCCCCAAACGAATGCCAGGAAGGGCACCTCTGGCCTTTCTCCTGGATGAGGCTAGGTTGCTATGTGGACTTGAGGGTGGGGCTCGGGTCCTCAGACCACTCATATCTTCCTCTGTTTTCCACTTCCCCCTAGAAAAACAGAGCCACAAGAATAGTTAACTGCTGGGAGAGAAATACCTCAATCGTGCTCGAAAAATGGTTAAGATCTCCCTCTCTGGAACAGCGAGTTAAGCTGGGAAGTTTGTCTGGTGTCCTGAAACCTACTCCCCTACCCTCTTTCAGTGCTGTCTGACTTATTGGTAAAATTTAAATCTCTCAAGAAAAATAAAAAGAATAATACCTTGTATTTTCAGTCACAAGGTGAAAGATATGCCATTATTGACTTACAGCTCCCAGATACTTTCTTTTGAAGCCTTACCTCCTATTGTGGCTCTACCAGGTTTATCCATAGTGGGGCGGGGGGAGGGGGGGTGCGATACAGAAATGTAATGGCTCTGAGCCTTAGTTTTCTCACTGTAAAATAGGAATTTCATACTGCAGGGACAGAGCCAGAACCTGTGCTGGCCTAACCTGGGGTGTTTCCCAGGTGAGGGGGGATTTTAGCAAACCCTTTCTCTTCTTACTTTTCTTTCTTTCTCTGTATGTTTTTCTCTTTTGGCTCACTTACATTGCCTTGGTTTGATCCCCTCTGTGTGAGCTTTTCTCCTCTTTTAAATTTCATTTTCTTCTGCCAAAGCAAAGGCTTTAAAGGCAGACAGTCCTGAATCTGAACTACCAAAGTTCCCCTACTTACTACCAAAGTATCTTGAGAGGAACCCCTTAACCTGTCTCAGAATTATTTTCTTCTGTAAAATGGGATAATAATATCAGTCTTGCAGGGTTGTTACTGATTGTCTCCTCCCACAGGAACTTCAGCTTTTGTCTATTGTCACTCCTGCATCCCTGGGGCCTAGAAACAAATCTAGCACACAGCACATAAACATATTTTTTTTTTGTTTTTTTAATACACATGTTTTAAGATTTTATTTATTTGACAGAGAGAGAGCACTAGCAGGGGAAGTGGCAGGTAGAGGGAGAGGGAGAAGCAAGCTCCCCACGGAGTAGGGAGCCTGATGCAGGGCTCTATCCTAGGACCCTGGGATCATGACCTGAGCAGAAGGCAGACGCTTAACTGACTGAGCCACCCAGGCGCCCCTAAACATGTTTGTGTAATTATTTAATGACTTAAAGAAAGTATGTATGTAAATCACCTGACAATCTCTATTCAAAAAATGCTCTTTTCGGTCGCCTGGGTGGCTCAGTTGGTTAAGTGACTGCCTTCGGCTCAGGTCATGATCCTGGAGTCCCGAGATCAAGTCCCGCATCGGGCTCCCTGCTCGGCAGGGAGTCTGCTTCTCCCTCTGACCCTTCCCCCTCTCATGTGCTCTCTCTCTCTCATTCTTTCTCTCAAATAAATAAATTAAAAAAAAATCTTTACAAAAAATGCTCTTTTCAAAGAGTATCCTATTCTTTCCCACCATTTTTCCTGTTTTTTGGTTTATGTGTGTGATGCTCGTCCAGCATGCATCTTTCAATGGAGCACACTTAATCCCTCCAGCTGTATTCCAGGATACATTTTGAACCTCCTATGGCCATCCACACACACTTTTCATCTTCTGGTAACAGCATGCAAAGTGAATTATCCATTTAAATTATGGATTATTTTAATGTTGCTTTAAATTTATGCAACCACCAACCACTCTTGAACCACATGAAGCTTCAAAGGGCCCTATCAGCATTTCTTGGTAGGGATAAGGAATGGGGATCATATGTCATAGTAAACATCTCTCAATCTCCTCTGGGGAACTACCTTTCTCACTGTAGACCGTGGTATTGATTCAGGTGTGGTTGGGTTACTTAAATCTTTCCAGTTCTTGGCACCCCTCCCCCACCCCAATTAGTTCAGGAATGGATGAGCAATCCAATCAGACCAGTCAGCTGCTAATTCGCTAATTCTAGCCCTGCTACTAGGTCAACCAGAGGTGTGCTCATTTCCTCTGATTAGTGGGTTCCTGAGCCAGGGCAGCCATCCTGTTTCCAGGAGGGAAGAGGCAGCCTGCAGTGGATCCAATCTAAAGGGAGAGAAATGAGAGATGCGGAATAGAGTCCTGGAACTCTTGTTTGAGAAGCCCTGATCCCAGTTCCACTTCTGGAATTCCCCAACGTACCTTCCCTAACACCTCACCCAATTTGCCTAAGTCACTTGATTTTTTTTTTTCCTGTCACTTGCAAACAGAAAGATTCCAAATACTTCATAGACCTATACCTCTGAAACCAATAATACACTATATGTTAATTAATTGAATTAAAGTAGTTAAAAAAAATTCCAAATACAGAAATTACTCTGACACAGACTTTTCAGTACCTCAGGTTGAGAATCACAGCACTGAGTTTTCTTCTGATTCTCAAATTCACCCCTTACCAATTCACTAAGTACTTTTTTTAAAGGAAAAAAATGACTGATGGCCAGGCATTAATATCTATAAGAATTACTACTTTAGTACTGTGATTGACTTCAAGTATAGAAGAAAATCTGTAAGAGCATGGGCATGACAAAAGTACATTAGCTACTTGGTTCAGTGACTGTCCTCGTAGGAAGCAGATGGCATATTCAACAAAGAGTTAACTGAAGAGGTAATTATTTATAGGGCTAAGGAAGCCCACTTGGGATGAGGTTACTCCCAGTGGCAGCTCTTAGACCCTATGAAGCAAGGAACCGAGCAGGATTACCAGAAGCCAGTAAATGCTATGGCTATGAATAGACGCCACTATGGCCTTAGGTAGAGGAACTGCAGCAGCCCAGTTTGGGGGGCGGGGGTGGGGATGGTTAAAAGTGGAATAACTGGACTAATCTCTCTTCCCATAGTCGCATCTTTTAATGATGACTTCTATTGCCCAAAAGCCATCGGGAAACCTGAGGGCAAGAGAAGTGAGTGGGCGCCTGGGTGGCTCAGTTGGTTAAGCGACTGCCTTCGGCTCAGGTCATGATCCTGGAGTCCCGGGATCGAGTCCCGCATCAGGCTCCCTGCTCAGCGAGGAACCTGCTTCTCCCTCTGGCCCTCCTTCCTCTCATGTGCTCTCTCTCTCTCTCTCTCTCTCATTCTCACTCTCTCAAAATAAATCAATCTTAAAAAAAAAAAGAGAGAAGTGAGTGAGGCAAGCTTAGAGGTGAGCCTCACGGGGACAGAGCAGGTCAGAGAAGACCAGAAAACTGATTCAGGGATGTGTTGTCCAGAACAGCAGCCACTGGACACACATAGCTATTTGAGTTCCAATTAACCTGTGCTGTAAATGTAAAATACATGCTAGATTCCAAACACTCAGTATTTTAAAAAAGGAATGTAAAATATCTCATTTCTACATTGATGACATGTTGAAGTGATAATTTCTTCATGCATTGGATTAAATAAATGATATTATTAAAAATTAATCTGTTTCTTTATTTTTAACTGTGTCTACCAGGGCGCCTGAGTGGCTCAGTTGGTTAAGCGGCTGCCTTCGGCTCAGGTCATGATCCTGGAGTCCCGGGATCGAGTCCTGCATCGGGCTCCCTGCTCGGCAGGGAGTCTGCTTCTCCCTTTGACCCTCCCCCCTCTCAGGCTCTCTCTATCTCATTCTCTCTCTCAAATAAACAAATAAAATCTTTGAAAAAAAAATTACATGTTTAGGGGCACCTGGGTGGCTCAGTCGTTAAGCATCTGCCTTTGACTCAGGTCGTGATCCCAGGGTCCTGGGATTGAGTCCCACATCGGACTCCCTGCTCGGCAGGGAGTCTGCTTCTCCCTCTCCCTCTGCTGCTTCTCCTGCTTGTGCTCTCTCTGTGTCAAATAAATAAATAAAATATTTAAAAAATTTTTCTTGGAAAGATCAATCAGTCACATTCATTCAAATTGAGTCCTTATGTTTCTCTGTGGTAGGCTGAGAGCTGCTGCTATAAAGCTATGTTAGAAGTATGTGCCCCAGGGACACCTGGGTGGCTCAGTCGGTTAAGCGGCTTGCCTTTGGCCCGGGTCATGATCCCAGGTTTCTGGGATCGAGTCTCACATCTGGCTCCTTGCTCAGCAGGGAGCCTGCTTCTCCCTCTCTCTCCCTCTGCTCGTGCTCTCTGTCAAATAAATAAAATCTTAAAGAAAAAAAAAAGAAGAAAAAGTATGTGTACCCAGTAGACTTTCCCCCCTACACATAGAATATTCCAGGTGACAACTGGTTTATTTATTTATTTATTTATTAGATTT